ATGCCATGCCATGCCATGCCATGCCATGCCATGCCATGCCATGCCATGCCATGCCATTCCATTCCATTCCATTCCATTCCATTCCATTCCATTCCATTCCATTCTATTCTATTCTATTCTATTCTATTCTATTCTATTCTATTCTATTCTATTCTATTCTAATGAATCTATCATGCACAGCTCCATGTATATAACTAGCTTTTAGTGTTTCATATTCAAGGAAGTTTGGAAAGTTGAACTGTCACTTTCTATAATAGAATTCAGAACATGTCTTCCAGTACAATGAAAACCTCCATACAATCATATCTCAACATCATAATAATGTGGTTTTAATAATATGTGAACAAGCCTACCTACTTCCTGGGCTTATGCATTCCATCCTTTCATTCTATGTGATCCATAGAAGGTATCTGGAAGCTATTATTTCCTCAGGTTTAAAACAGATCATCTTCAAATTGTGGTTTGGTTTTATAAAAAGTAACTGCAATTCACAAATCTGATGGTCTGGGTCACCATGGTTAACAAAAAGCAGAAGGAAACATACCAGAATGATTCCTCCTAGATGGGCAGAAGCGGGGAGAATGGAAATCTGCAAACTAAGTAGGTATGCACAGGACTGTTTAATAGCTAAACAAAGCCAATACCCCTCTCCTTAAAAATTCATTATTAGTTTTCAATATTTATGGGCTACCACAATATAAAACTCTAGATATTCACCAGACATAAATACTTGTAGTTATAATTATACTTATCATGATACTAACAGAGTTCACATTTCCAGACCTTATCATGATTTTTCCTCATGTAGTGTTCTACATTCATATTTCATTCTCATTTTTATCTTTTTTCTGCATTAGCACTATAAATTTATGATAAGGCATTTATTTATTATTATGCTACCAAGTAGCATAAAAATCCAGGGAGACAGATTAATGTCCTCTTAAGATGCAGTCAGCATAAAGGAGCAAGAGGTTTTTCAGCCAAATGGCCACATAAAAACTAATTTCTTGAATCCTATCCCAGTCTTCTTAACATTTCCCTAAAATAGCTCGACATTCCATCTCAATAAACTCTTTTAGATTTCCAGGCCAAGTGTAGTAACCAAAAATAAGTAACCCAACTAATCAAAGTTGGGTGCTGGTATCTAATTTGTACATTAAAATGTTTAGACAGCTGTTATGTCAGTTATTTGTATATCCCCACAACCTCATGCATCTGTGGGGTAAGAAAGAAACCTATCATTACACTGTTACGTATGGGAGAACCTTAATTTAGGAGAAAGAAAAGTGCATAGGAAATGAAATTACAAAAGAGCTCATGTTAACATGCTGTAAATTCAAAGCATTAATTGAAGCCTTCATGACTTGGAAAACTTTACAGTGCATGAAGTCTCAGGGCATCCTGCCCAATGTCTACTCTTCTCTATAGAAAAAAAACTGTGCCAGTCCAATCCAATCATTTTGGGTTTATTTTACTGTATAGAAAGATCTGTATACAAATGAATTCCAGTCCAGGTGAAAAATGTTGTAGGGGAGATTTTTATAATAACAGGAAAAGTAGGCAAACAAGCCAGGGACAGAACTATCACTGGTGTAAGAGGTGTAAATCAATTTAATGACTGAAATAGTTCTTTAAATTCATTCAAATATTTATTTGCAATACTGGGATGTTTATGATAGGACATAACAAATTTTGTGAGAAAATATTTTCAACATGTTCATTTGAACATGTACTGAAATATTGTTTAATTATGTACTTCCATGAAAATATTTTTAACACTGCATATTAAAGTAGAAAAGGGACAGAACAACTTACAAATAAAGTTCCCCTTATCTTTTATTCGTACATCAATCATCTTGTGATGAAAATGAGTAATTTAGAGGATTATGTATGCCCCCAAATTAGCTAATGGGCATTTTGCAGCCTTATTATATGCAGATGATATAGTGACAATATCAACTGGACTAAAATGAACTCTGAGGACTCTAGATGCTTACTATTGTGAGAAAGAACTTGAGATCAACTGTAACAAAAACAAAATTTTAATTTCTGCAAAGTGACGTAGTGACCATGCCTATTGGTTATAGAGCTAGACAAAAATATAGTTCTTTAAACATTTGGGCATAGTCTTTCATCACTTTATACGAAATGTATTATAATGATAGTTATACTATTTTCTACTTCCCCAGAATGGTACAGCGTAGACCAACAGCATTAAAGCTTTATTTGGCTACAGCATGCATATAGCTTCTGTTCGATGTTCAGTTGGGACCATCCTCTGGAAAGGATTCAGTCCAAATTTTTAAGGACTATATTTCAAATGTGTGACTAATGTGGTGCAAGGAAGGGAGACAGGTTTAAAGATGGGCACACTATTTGTACTTCTACCCATGGGTTAAATTTACTATATTTTTCAGAATGTCTGCAAATTATTGTTATTGTTATTGTAGACAATTATAGTTTAACATGGAAAAGAATATTCCTTCAAAAATTGCAACACTATGGAGTTTCCAGAGAGGTCATTCTGATTATGGGTACTAACTGCACTTATGTAACATGCTAGAAAGTTGGAAGCCAAACTGGATTGATCCGCACTACCCAGAAAGTGTCCCCCCACCACTTTTAAGGCCAGCCAAAATTAAGTAACTGTCTCTAAATTTCAAAAAGCACCAACATTAGCACATTTTAATGTTTTCCTGAAGCTGTTCTCAACAGCAAATACAAAACAACCAACAAACACTAGTTAAGATCATCTCTTGCAGAGAAGAATTTATCATATCCATACCTCACATTCTTTTATAGTGCTTACTCCATAAAGATGAAGGGCCTGCTTTATAACTCAAATCCTGGGCAAAATATGCAGAATTTATGTAGAATTAGTTTAACAGACCAGTCCAATGTCATTTCCTTGAACATAATTAAATCTTGGTATAATTGTTGCTGTGACTGCCTCAACGACTTAGGTATAATTTTATGTTGTCTTATTTTAGTCAAAACAAAAACTGTTATTTAATTACAGTATTTGACTACATATAGAATTCTGGTCTGTGACTGCAATAAAAAAATATGTTGTTGATGATTATTCTTATATCAAATGAAAGTTACCTCTGGTTCAGTCTTTTATTTCTAACACTGACCAGTTGCATGCCAGTTTGACCATTTCTGAGAAAAAGTTTTATTAAAGTATTTGAGGGATGGATTCTTTCAAAACAGAAAAAAAAAATCAGCCATTTTGTTTTCAATTAAAAACTTCAATAAATGGAGCCATTACAATACAAAACTATCTGTTTGTTATCTGTCAAGTAGGTCCAATATATATCTGCAATCAAGTTTTCTTTACAAAACAGAAGAGGTTTATATGTAAGAAGTTATTTATTCTCTTTACACATGTCTATGCTATTTCAGAACTGGAATTGTAACATACTAAAAGAGGAGGCAATGTTTGAATAGCTTTGTTTGATCAGCTGGATAGTTTTACAGCACTATTATGTACAGAACACTGTTTCTGCTCTCCCAGCAAGCTTAGAGCCAAGCATCTGGCAATGCTGAAACTTTGATGATATCATTGCCTTGCAAAAGCTGGTTAGAGTTGAAAGTTACAAGAACACAAATCACAAAGAACAATGACAGCCCAAACAAAGCCTGACAAGAGAGAGGAGTGATCTGTAAACAAAAGAATTATGTTGTTTAATTAATATCTTATGCTCTTGTTGATAGATGATCACTGCTATTCAGGTATCTTCTTAAGCTGGGATAACTAGAGATGTGGTTTATTAAATATTAACCAATTCACCAAAATCAGAGGTAATCTGGTAGCAGTTTTTCCAGCTAACACATTTTATTAAAAGGCATAAGCTTTCCTGAGCTGCACAGAGTGACTTGACTGATATAGGATTTTAATTGGGAGGAGATGGGTAGGACACAGAAAGGGTGGAGAAGGCAGGTTAATGATGCAAGTTGCATGAGGCAGATTACAAATGCTTTATCAATTAACAATTGTAATGTGTTAAAAACTCTTGCAATTGCTGGCCTTTTTGAGATAGCCTGAAACCTTTTTTGACATATGTAAAATCTTTTAACAATATCTCATTGTAAAATGACTTATGGTCCACAGTATATCTGACTGCCTTTTGTATACTGTAAGACTTTTGACTGTTTTTGTAACAATTTTGGAATTTGGCTTAAATGTGAGTTGTGGTCAATGGAAATTTCTGCACAGACTACAACTTTTGTGGGGCAAGAAAATGTAAACAAAATTCGGAGACTACATAATGGATTCTGCAATTATTCTAGGGCAGCTGAAATGCTATATAATACACTAAAAATACATGTTAGTAATTACTCTTTATAATACTAATTATAAATCTTGTCCTTTTAAACATAAGCACTTTCAGGTCCTTAATATTTAAAGAGAAGGAATGAAGCATAATTTTTTGGCGAGATTTTGCTCAATTGGAGGCTTATTTATAGCAACTCAATTCATTTATCTATTATAGTTATAACATATAAAAGAATATGTATGTAAATATATTAAACTGTATTAAAAACTTTAGGGAGGATTACAAATTAATGTGTGAAATATTAATATTACATTTTAATAAAACCATATAGGCAATATTAAAAATTCTGTTTCATTTATTAAAGAATTATATAGCCTTATTCACTCCTTTGTCTTAATAACTAACACTAATTTTGGGTAGGAAATCTGTGTAATCCCTGAAACTCTTCCATTTCAGCGGCTGTGATCCTCTTTAGATGTTCCCTCAGAAGCAATTAAATTAGCAATTCCTTTCAGCTCCTCCAAGAGCTTCAGTTAAAAAATTCTGCTTCTGGAAGCCATCCAAACACTTGAGGAAGTGCTATTTAAGTTTCATGTACAGTATCATTTTTTTTAAAATAAAAGATTGTTTCTCAAAACTGTAATTTTTACAGTTGAACGTTTTAGGTTTTATAATTTTCAGAAATCTTTTCACAGAAATCTGTATGCATTAAAAGAGTTTTCAGTTTCTATATAAATAGAATTATTTATAGTCTTCGTTTGAGTAAAAATCAGGAGGAATTCAGGTTGTTGTTGCTTCTACCTGTAATTTGTTTTATCTGTTGACCTTTTAATTTGCAGTGTATGCCAACTGTATGCATTTTACAATGTATGGAGCATGGGGCTGTGTTTTCACACATTTGGCTTTTCTTCTTTATATAAACTGATTGTTCTCATTTTTACTGAGAAAAGCTTTGCAGCACCATGCCTCCCAAGAATATGTTTCTCTTAAACTCAGGAGCAGTGGGGTTTGCTGTTGTTGTTATATCTGCCATCTTTAATTAATAATCCATATGAGTCATGCCTCTAGAAACTCCATACAGTATAATACTATCTAAAACCTTTACAAAGGACTTAAAATCTTTTTAAAAAGTAGACCAATCAGCAATCTCATTGTATTCTCTATTTACATGTAAAAACAAAGAAGGGAAAAGGGGGAGGTGTTTATAGACAGACAGAGAGAAGGTCAAAGTATTATCCACCAGTCTTTGAGTTGGCAGAAATTTGCTGGTCTTATTTGTAAGTCCCAGTCTTCCAGAATAACAAATCAAGCAGTTGGTACTATCCTTATTGTTTTAATCCAGGATAGGTTAAGGAAACTGATAGGCAAATGTCCCTTTCCATCAAATATCACTTGCTGGCAGGAAAACAGTCATCAATCACTTTCCATAATATGGGATGTAGCAGATGTAGATGAAAGTTGATGAGGGCTTGAAGCAGCTTGTTTTGACATCTGTCAAGTAACAGCACTGTGCCTGTAACCAGACTATTTCTGATTATAGGTTTAGCACTGGTTTGAAAGAACACTAAACCCATGTCTAAAAATAGCCTGGATGACAGACACAGTTATGGAGGAGGGATGTGGGGTGAACTAGGAGCAAATGATCAATAAAGAACAAGCTCCATCTTCAAGTAGTGCTGCAAAAGAATAGGTGTGCTGGTATTGAGTCTACTTCTGATACATCAGAAAATAGCCCACAGAGCATAACTGTGTAGGCAAAATGACACAATTCATCATCTCAGTACTAGAAACAATAAAAGTTATGGCCATGCCAAACCTCGTATTACAGGGGTGGGGAATGATGGCTGGCTCAAGAATTCTGGGAGTTGAAGTTCACAAATCATAAAGGGGTCATTGTTCCCCACCTCTGTCGTATTAACAAAACCAGTGGAAAACATTGTAATGTACCCAAAACAGCAACTAGAAATACACTGCTGGCAGAATGAGGTTCTCCATCCTGATTTAAATCAATACTCTATGCAATACCAGACTAGCACTTTGTCAAGAAAGTTGTTTTTTTATATACTGCACAAAAGAGCACTCAACTTGTGTTTTTAAGGAGCCCACATTAAGACCTGATAAACACTTCAGACATCGCCAATCAGGCATTATATATGGGGGACATGCTTCTGCAGAAACTGATGTCCGGATTCTCCTGCAGCCTGAGCCAAAATAGGGGTGTGAAAATGAGCCCATAGAACTCATATAAGAAACAATAGCTAAAATGTGATACTTGTCATCCTTGTCCTCATTTATCAAGCAAATGGTATATCAATGTATCCATTATTTGATAATTGGGTATGTTCATTAAGCAAATCTAATTTCTGGATATTGTCTGCTTGGGCAATTGAGCAGAATGATAATTAGAAAGCCTAATGATTTGCAGGGTTCATCTAAGCCTCCATGACGCCAGCTGAAGATTGTAAAACTGCCCTGAATTAACACTGTATAAAACAGAAATTTCAGAGAATCAAAGGAAATAGTTCAGAAACTGTACACTAATATACAGTATTTGTTCAGAACTCAAATCAGTAGTGATATAACTCCAGTAGAGTGATATTAATTCTTCTGAGCCCTCAAATATTGCTGCAGTCATGAATATTGCCTATTTATTCTAGGCAGAAGTTAAAAGATTAGACTGGGGCTGACAGTGGAGCTCTTTTATGTTAATACAAATACTCAGTTTCACTTTCTCTACCTAGAAACCAGGAGATTGTGAGTTCTAGTCCCATTTTAGGCAGGAAGCTGGCTGGGTGACTTTGAGCCAATGATTCTGTCTCAACCCAACTCACCTCACAGAGTTGATGTTGTGGGGAAAATAGTGGGAGGAAGGAACATTAGGTTTGTTGTCTTGAATTATTTATAAAAAATATAAAGGTAGGATTTAAAAAGGTCCCACTGCTCCCCTGAGACTTAACTCCTGGACAGATATAGACTCAGATGACGCCTGCCTCTCCATCTTCTGGGGATGGCAAAGAATTGGTTCTTTTATAACAAAGGGGAGAACTTTGCAGACATCCATGAATTAATACAGGAGGAGTATATTCTCAAACTCTGGGAAAGAATAGGGAGTTGTTTAAAATATGGCAAATGAAGAACAGATGAGCATTTCAGCCTTATCTCTTAAGCAAAGCTTTAGTCCATTAGTCTTACAGAATGCAAGAAAAGAAAATTTAAACAGCTCTTAGAAACCTCACCTTGACAGGTTTCTTATTTTTCATTAACAAATTAAGATTGTACTTTTCTTATTTAATACTAAGATTATTATTATTAATAATAATAATTAATTATTAATTTATTTATTAATAATATTAATAAATAAGTAAATAAATTTAGTTTCTGATATTTTATAATTTAAATCTTTCTTTCAGATTAATAAGGTGCTGCATGGCTTTTGCTTCCTTCGTCAAGTGTCACCATTATTGTATTGACAATGGAACTTTCTATTTGAGTGTTCTTAGCACTTAGACTTATATAATGCTTCACAGTGCTTTACAGACCTCTCTAAGCAGTTTTCAGAGTCAGCATATTGCCCCCAACAATCTGGATCCTCATATTACCCATCTCGGAAGGACGGAAGGCAGAGTCAACCTTGAGCCTGGTGAGATTCGATCTGCCAAACTGCTGGCAGCCGGTGATCAGCAAAAGTAGCCTGCAGTACTGCACCCTAACCACTGTGCCTCCATGGCTCTTGGTTAATCCTAATTATGATTGGACAACTGTTTTTATAGTTAACATGAAAACTAAAATGTCCAATTTCAAATAACACAATAAGCTCTAGTTGTAGAAACAAAACCTTTCCATTGCAACTAGTTTGGGTGATCCATCAGATACAGAATTAAGGAATCTGCACTTTTCTATTCTAAGCTATTTGTGGCCTTAATAGAAGGAAGCAAACACTCAAAAATCTGAACCTGATTATCATGAAATTATAAGAATAAGAACACAATGTACTTTTTCTTCCAATAATTTAGATAGTGACATATTTCCTAATACATAATATCACATTTGATACTTTTATATACTTACTACTCCCCACCAAAGTGCATCAGCATAGCTGCTAAATTCATGCTCGCCTGAGTCATTTACGGCATCTTTTTCAGCCAAATACACGAAATATGAAGAAAAAATCAAGCCCAGAAACCCAATATACAGGGTAGTTATCAATTCCTAAAAGAAGAAAAAGAACCAATTAGTGAATAATTAACCATATGGGGAATCCTGCTGTCTTCAGAAGCTATTTTGAAAAAATAATACCTGATGCTCAAGTTTATACTTCAGTGGGCTTATTATTTTCCAGTATTATTTGGTAACATCAAGAGAGAGAGAATTTTAAGTGCCAGAAAGCCTATTTCTTTAAAGCTAACAGCTCAATCTAAAAGCCCTGAATGTGAAAAATTCCTAATTTGTGTTGAAGGAAGCCTAAATCTAAATTAATTTATATCAATGCTAGATGGAAAAAAATTATAAATTCTACACAATTTTATTTAATGGCTTCAATCCATTCCTCAAATTGAAAGCAAAATGTTTGCTAAGCAGATGGTCCTAGGGTTAGCATGCAGAGTAAATAGCATTTGCTGATTAAATTGTGAAAAGCATCATGGAAATAGGCATGGACAAAACTTGGATTTCACAAACTATAATGTTGAGTTGTAACAAATTTAACAACTAAACCTGACACTCAATTAAAGAATGCCGTGTCAGTTTAATTATATGAGTGTTAATTCATTGATTAAATGTGCATGTGAATAAAACAACACTTCTGATTTGAAAACCATATATCTTTTACTCAGGGTATACGTAGGTCATAGCATGTTATATGAGAGAAGTAGAAATTACTTTAAAGTCAGATCTAGTCATTGGTAGTTGGAAGGACTTTGAAATATTTTTTTAACAATATAGGAACTGCATGATTTATCAAAAAACATTTTAGTAAAATTTCTTTATCAAAATATTTTGCATTTCAAAATGATCTAATATGTACTTAGAAGTTATTTTAATAATGTAATATCAGACCTATCATCCACTGGGAGTTTCAGCAAAAAAAGCTTGCATATATTCCATCTTTCTATAAACTACTAGACTGACCACATTGAGATGTTTTTTTCTAATTCATCGAACCAAGATATGCACAGGACTATCGAATCTGCATGTAATCCTTTTGCTCCACCCTTTGCCACAATCTACAATTATGCAAGAAACCTCTAATTTTCCAGTTTCCATTCCTTCCAGACTGGGAAAAAATAACTATCAGTTTCAAATATGTTCAGAGTATTAATGGCCAAACCACAAGTCATTTTTACTCTAGAGTAAACAAAGTTAATCCAACTGGAAACCTTAATGAAGTAGGGTGTGACTCTAGTTCTTTGTCCTATATTTTTACTCTAATCCAACTGGAAACCTTAATGAAGGGTGTGACTCTAATTCTTGTCCCATACTAAGGTCATGATCTAGATCAGTCTTTCCACATTTCAATTAATACAGTCAAGAAGGGAATCACTGAAATAAACCATATCTTGTTGGGGCAAATCAATTGACAGGAACAGTTAATCCTACTTGTTTTGGGACTACAATGGCATAAATGTTTTAAATGTTCCTTTTCCAAACACTACCAATCTAAATCTCTCCCTCCCTCCCTCCCTCCCTCTCTCTCTCTCTCTCTCTGTCTCTCTCTCTCTCTCTCTCTCTCTCACACACACACACACACACACAAACAACCACACTGTTTCCTGTAGTCCTTGACTTACCACCACAATTGAACCCAAAGTTTCTGTTGCTAAGTGAGACATTTGTTAAGTGAGTTTTGTCCAGTTTGCCACTTTTCTTGCCACTGTTATTAAGTGAAATGGGTTTCCCCATTGAATTTGCTTGTCAGACAGTCACAAAAGGGGATCACAGGACACTGCAACTGTCATAAATATGAGTCAGTTGCCAAGCATCTGAATTTTGATCATGTGACCACGGGGATATTTCAATGGTCATAAGTGTGAAAAATGGTCATAAGTCATTTTTTTCAGTTCTGTGATGACTTTGAATGGTCACTACTACAGGACTACCTGTACAATGAAAATAAACATATGGTTGCTAACTAGCCTATGCACTGAATTGAGTAATTCAGAACAGACTTTCATTTACCCAAAGAGGAACAGATGGATCTGAACCAGTGGTGGGTTGCTTCCGGTTCACACTGGATCGGGCGAACCGGTAGCAGCAGCAGCGGGATGCTCCGCCCACCCACCCGGATGCACCGCATGCACGAGCAAACTGGTAGCAACGGGATTTTGAACCCACTCCTGATCTGAACAAACTTCATCTCAGTTCTGGATTTCTACAAAACCAAGTCAAAGATTTATGCATGTACCTATGTATGTATGTAATTTATATACATTTACATATATATCCTCCAAGATCTCAAGTAAATGTATTTGGCTCTTTCCCTATATTTTATCTGTATAACAGTTGTAAAATATACATACATACAGTATAAACATACACAGACACATAAAAGTATTGCATTTACTTTAAAAATGTATAAATCTGTGATACTCTGTAATGATACAATCATAGATGTAGAGCAAATCTATCATGGGATATAAGCCTTTTAATTCAGCATATATTCAACTAAAATGACAAGAGTTCATTTCTGGCCAGATTTCACTTACAGGTAGTTCTCAACTTACAACCATTCATTTAGCAAATGTTCAAATGACTTACTATTGGTCCTACTGAGTCTTGGAGAAGACTCTAAACTTTTCCAGAGTCCAGAAGTACAGTTTCCTCTGCAGACTTTCCAGTCCATGTTGGGAAGTCAGAGAATGTGTAGGCAAAGCTAGAACATTTTTGTCTTTAATCCATGTAGAGTTTTTTGGAATGACACCTTTGGGTGCTCCAAAAATAATGTGAATCTAGATTCCCAACAATAAAGAAATAAATACTCACAGTTCCCAATTTTGCATACCTGTCTATGTATGAACACTACAGATCCCAATAGTCTCCACGTGCCACCCTGCCGATCTACATGAAGCATGCGCAGAATCTGCAGAAACCGGATGCCTCTGGGGGAGAAAATAGGTTTATTCAAAGAAAATGGAAGATAACTAATTAAAATACAGTTTGGAAATAGAAGTCTGATTGTAGAAAAGAAAAACCACAGGGAATAATATATGTTCAGGACTATAGAGGTAGTCCTCACTTAACGATGATTAGTTACACTGCTGCGGCATCCCTGTATTCATGTAATTGAGATCTGGGTACTTGACAACTGATTTGCTCTTATGACGATTGCAGCATCCTACATTTATGCAATCACTATTTGTGAACTTCTCAGCTGGTTTCTGACAAGCAAAGTCAATGGGGAAGCTAGCAGGAGGTCACAAGTTAATGTGATGTCTCACTTAATGACTGTGGGAGACTAGCTTAATGATCATCACAAAACATGATCATTAAAATTGGGTGCAGCCAGATTGATGCCCGACTTGATGAACACACCACTTAAAAAATAAATCTTCCAGGCTCTATTGAGATCTCAAATTGAGGATTACCTGTATAAACTTACAATTAACATATTTACCTGATTGCTGAAGTTGCAAAAACTTGACCTTTTGAACCAACACATAGTACTATCATGGAGGCAACAACTACAATAAGATCTGGAAATTAAAAACAGATAAGCAAATAAATGTAGATTTAAAAGTGTATGTGCCTTGCACATATTTAGATTTTATGCTAAAACATTGTACTTCTATTTAGATGGTAGGTAACTGATAATTAATATTTGATTATACACATTTGCCTTGCTATTTTCCTTTTCCTTTGCTTGTATTTTTATAAAGACTTTGTGCACAGTCAAATATTTACTATGGTTTTAAAGACTTTTTTTAAAAAAGATTTTTATAAAGATTTCATGCACAGTATCATATTTTAATAATAATAATAATAATAATAATAATAATAATAATAATAATAATAATAATAATAATAATAATAATAATAATTTTATTTCTATACCGCCCTTCTCCCGAAGGACTCAGGGTGGTGTACAGCCAATTTAAAAACACAAGACACAACAATAATTAAAAATTAAAATAATTAAATAAATTTGGCCGATTTAAAACCCCAAAAATTTAAAATACCCCAATTTAAAATTATTAAGTTGATAGCCCGGCCTGGCGGAACAACAGGGTCTTCAATGCGCAACGAAACACCCGGAGGTCGGAGATATTGCGTATTTCCGGGGGCAGTTCATTCCACAGGGCTGGGGCTCCCACAGAGAAGGCCCTCCCCCTGGGTGTCGCCAGCCGACATAACTTGGCTGATGGCACCCTGAGGAGACCCTCTCTGTGGGAGCGGACTGGTCGGTGGGAGGCTATTGGTGGCAGAAGACGGTCTCGAAGGTACCCGGGTCCTATGCCATGGAGCGCTTTAAAGGTGGTAACCAACACCTTGAATCGCACCCGGAAGACCACTGGGAGCCAGTGCAGCTCGCGCAGGAGGGGTGTCACGCGGGCACAACGAGTTGCGCCCATAACCACCCGCGCGGCCGCATTCTGGACCAGTTGGAGCCTCCGAGTGCTCTTCAAGGGGAGCCCCATGTAGAGAGCATTACAATAGTCCAGCTGGGAGGTGACAAGGGCATGAGTGATCGTGCGCAAGGCGTCCCGGTCCAGAAAGGGCTGCAACTGGTGGATCAGGCGAACCTGATAAAAGGCCCCGCTGGCCACGGCCGTCATATGCTCTTCTAAAGACAGCCGTGCGTCCAGGAGGACACCCAGATTGCGAGCCCTCTCTGTGGGAGGCAAAGATTCACCCCCAATAGTCAGCGATGGCACCTGCTGACTATATCGGGACGCCGGCAGCCACAGTCACTCGGTCTTGGACGGGTTGAGTCTGAGCCTGTTCCTCCCCATCCAGACCCGCACGGCCTCCAGGCAGCGAGACATCACATCAAGGGCATCGTTGGGGTGGTCTGGGGTGGAGATGTACAGCTGAGTATCATCAGCGTACAGATGACACTTCACCCCAAAACCACGGATGATCTGCTAAGATGTAGAGGAGGTTTCAAGGCAATAATTGTTTTTAAGATTTCTTTTAATAAGGCAGTGTGTTAATTTCCAGTATCTTTTGAACTTTTACATAGCTGCTACATATGATAAAAAGTGTTTTTTTTTTCTGTGTCACAACATTGATTATTGTATGATTTATCTATTTTTACAATTATGGACAGAGTTATGTCCCATCTGTAAAACATTTTGTACCAATTATCTCTTCATATATTTTCTTGAAAACATTTATTACTTAATCATGCAACACTGGTAGAGCAAGGATGCATTCTTTGAAAAAAATAATGAAGATAGGAATGCCCTTTCATCAATTTGGTCGAGTAGAGAAAAGCAAGGAAAGAACCACTTCCAAATGAAGCAATGTTATCTTCCCACCTGCACTTTTTTTTTTTTTTTGAGAAAAAGATATACTCTTTTGTGAGGAACAAACAGTGCATACGCTCATTATGAAATCATATAGGGTGTTATATAGAGTCTGTGAACACTATGTGTCCATTTCTGAAACATGGAAATTCAATTTACTGCTGCTCTGGAATAGTTTACAAGGGCACTCCATTATTCAGAATAAATAATATTTATTTTACTTTATCATTTGTATCTGCCTATTTCACATAGAAACAGTGTAGTTAGTAATGACTAATATACTCTTTGGGGATTGAAATATTAACTTCCAGATCACTCTTCTGGGAACATAGAGCTACAACCACTGGTTCCATCATTTCATTAATGTAGGGATACATTAATGAATCTTAATGAATCTTTTTAAATCTTATCATTTCTCTCTTTATTGTAATATCAGGAACTACACTGAAGTTTTGTATGATTAGAAGAAAATGGTTGGAACGGAACGGGATCAAAAACTGAATTTGATTTGATATTTTCTTACCACATTAAAAATCACAATTTATTTAAATCCCTGGAAAGTTTTGAGGCCCCAAGGCCCCAAGGTTTTGTAGGTCTACTGGTTATAGAAGTACCCTAACAACGAAAGGGAACGGAAAGAATAATGGCAGTGCCCACTCTCCTTGTCTGATTGTCCACAATCAGTGATCCTAAGTTCAACATCTTAAACAAGCTTTCATTAGAATAATTTTCCTATTAATATTTCTTCTGGTTTTCCATCATGATCATACATCAAATCTATACATGTGATTAGTCTGTAATTCAAAACAGAGACAATCAGCCCTTCTTAGATAATGCAGCACAATATTTTCTATTTTCTAATTTAAAATAAATCATACTATACAAAACCACACATACTCACCAATGATAGAAATGGGTTTTCTAGCAAAACGAAGCCTTCCCCAGAAGCCAACATATTTACTGCGGCATCCTGAAGACCACAATCGAACCACATATTCAGTTCCAAAAAATACCACTAATACAATTTCCTAGAGGAAACAGATAGGGAGCCTGATTAATTTAATATGCTTTTAATGCTTTGCATATGCTATTTGGAGAAAATGGAATATCAGGTCTGGGAGTCTTAAAATAAATTGTGACAATCACCTCCCAATATGATGTGCCTCCTGATTGGAAATTCAAGATAGCTGTAGCCCTCACCCATCTAAAGAATAATAGTTGCAGAATAATAATCTTCAACAACAGTCCAGAACACAATTAAAAATTAAATTAAATTAAATTAAATTTTAAATTAAAAATTAAATTAAATTAAAAATCTTTGTTTTACATTTTAATCACATTTTTATCATCATATCTTGAAAAACATATGCCTGAAAAACATAAAAAGGCCTCTACATTAAAGGACAATTCTGTGCATGTAAAGTCCAAAATTAATAAAGTTTAATAGTATCTCAGAATTAAATTAAAACTACACCTTAAATTTCAATTTTTGAAGTCATATTAGAAAAATACCTACAAATGCAACAACAAGAAATTACATTTTTATATACCAGCTGTTCAATTCATTGCAAAACTTGGTAAAAACTAAAGTTTCTAGTAGAAATAATGCCAAAAAAGAATAAGCAAAATTTTGATAGAATAATAAAATTGCTTATATATTCTTCTATTAAATTCATGTTTTTATTTAGTAAAATGTTTATCAGTGAATTGTTGTATAAACTTGTATATAGATACTTGGAACCACTACTAGCACTGTGGCTAAACTTAGCTTTAAAATGTTTGACTTTCCTATGTCTTTTTCACTACATATATAAGTGGAAAAGTAGGTTCCACACTGCCCTGCATGCAAATACCTAATGTGCAAATAAAGAAGCCAACTGCTCATTTTTTAAAAAAGAAATAACATCAGAATTTTTATACATAAACTATGCTGTAGTAATTCTGCAAAAGGATCTTTTTTTAAACTAAGAAAATATAATGACAACTATAATTAATTGACTATGAGAAAGAGAAAATAACGAGGTGTAGTGAACCAAAATTTCCTACATGCAAATTAGACTTTAATATTGTAAGAAGGGTAGGAAAGTAGAAAGAAGCAAGGGGATAAATTACGGATGCCTTTAGAGTCACAATGTGTGGGTTTGTGGAATAAGGGAATAGCATGCAGGAAATTTGCATAAGAGCTGTGGGTTTTTAAAGACCCTCCATGATTTGCTGGGTAACAGGAACACTGACAAATATGCAAATGTGTGCTGCCCTAAAGACAATGAAACAGACATACAGTCAATGGTTACTGCCATCCCGTTCTTTGCATGACATGCAGACAAGCTTAGAGAACATTGATTGTTCTATAAACTCCTGCAATTGGAAAGAAGGACCAGTCAGCTTACACCAAGACACATTTTTCACTCCTGACATTTCGATAAAGGCATATTGACCTAAATGAGACCCATGTTATTCTGGAAACATCTGAGGTGAAAGGGCACAAGCTGTTCTTCATGGTCATACACAAAAATGCCAGGTAACTATTAGCAACTGGCAAATTCCCCTCCCCAACCCTTGGCTTGGTGACACACAAGTGTTTTTTTTTTTAATATCTTCCCTTGTATAAGCTCAATAAATCCACTGCAGGAGGAGGAGGAGGAGGTGGCTGATTGATATTTGTTGCTATATTTAGAGACAGCTGTCAGAATAGCTGCTTAGAGGCGAAAGCCTCTGCTGTTTACATTTACAATAAAATGTGCTAATCATTAGAAAGGCAAATAAACAATTCTTTGTGAATTACTTCAGTATACCCTGCCTACCATTCCTCAATAAACTGGTATTTCAGGAGTTTCAATATTAAGAGGCAAATATAACAACAGCAGCAGCAGGCTGCTTGTATGCTACCCAACTCTCAATGAATCTTGATGGCTCAAATAATAATAAATCAAATAAATCACAACCAAATCAATAAAGGATAAAAAGAAAAGATGGCAAGTGTGATGAAGTGAGAGATCTTATTCTCTCTCACCAAAGGCCTAGGAGAAGAACCACCGAGAAGGCAGGCTTCCAATGATGACACTGTTTAATTAAAGGATCCCAGAACGTGCCAACCTGCAGGACTGAATTGGGTACATGTTATAGGAGACAGGTGGTCCTTCAAGTGACTACGCCTTATGCCATAAAGGGCATACATACTAAGGACTTCTTTCTTTTTTACAACTGTTATCCGGCACCAACAACTTCAAATTTAGCCATGTTATCTGGTTAGAGTTAGGCTGATATTCTTATCAGCTATTTCCATTTATATTGCATTTTAAAAAAATGAAACCTAATTTTTTTTGGAAAGCAAAAAGTTTTCTTTTGGAACATAATCCAATGTTCAACCCTTATAAGCTTTAGTAAGACCACATCTGGAATACTTCATCCAGTTCTGGTCACCACATAAAAAAGATGTTGAGACTCTGGAAAGAGTGCAGGGAAGAGCAACAAAAATGATTAGGGGGCTGTAGACTAAAACAGCCTACAGGAATTCGCTACGTCTAGTCTAATGAAAAGAAGGACTAAGGGAGATATGATAGCAGTGTTCCAATATTTGAGGGACTCCTACAAAGATGAGGTGGTCAACTATTTTCCAAAGAACCAAAAGGCAAGACGAGAAACAATGGATGGAAACTAACCAAGGAGAGAAGCAACCTAGAACTAAGGAGAAAATTCCTAACAGTGAGTCCTAAACATCTTGCTGTGGTTGCTCCATTATTGGAGGCTTTCAAAAAGAGACTGGGTAATCATTTATTTGAAATAGTATAGGGTCTCCTTGGACTAGAAAACCTCCAACTCTATTATTCTATGTTCTACATTTGTTAGATCAGATTGAGGCTGGAGTTGTAAGCATACATAACAAGAAACCTGTACTGTACTCAATCCAAGAAAGGAGAATAAGTGATCACGCAGTTACAGAAGGTCAACTACTACAACATGGAACACCCAGGACTGTCTTTAAAGACGATTCAGAAAATAGGACAGAATACAGAGACTCAATTATTTTAGGGACTAGTTGATCAACATCTGGACGAACTCCAGTTTAGTGCCAGATATGCTACTGTATTTTTGGCCTCAAGTTAAAATGTTTGTGCGATTCAGGTGAAAGACCAGAATCATCCTTCAAACAACCTAGTCCCGAACAGATTCCAGTGAAAGTCCAGAATGGGTTCGAGATTAGGTTGTTTGAAGGATCATCCAACCCATAAACTTGCTTGAGCTCTTATCTGTATAAGAGTTCCTCCTCAAAATCTATAGGTAAGATTTCCCATGCCTATTTTTGTCTGGAAGAAGATAGGTCTGTTTAGGAAAAATCCTTGTCATTCTGGAATTTCCTACTACATGATAAGTGCATGTTCTCTACCTCTGACATGGCTCGCCTTGTTTCATAACCAATTAATGAGACTGGTTTTTCAAAGTTTTCCTTCCCACTGATTGTCAACTGAATGTTTCCTTTGTTAAAGGGTTCAGGAGTTTTCCTTGGAAATAATTTCTCTCTTTCTACAAATAATAACAGGATCTCAGTATTACTGGAAAGGTCTAAAAAGTTCTTGGCTACAAAAAGATTGGAAATTAGTATAGCCTTTATTGTCATTGTACATCATATATACAACAAAATTGAAATTACATCTGGCATCAAAACTGGTTAATCAAGTACTTGCTTTTCAAACTTTTTCTGTTATTGAACTAAAGCTGCATGAAAAACTACCAAATATGCTACAGAACTCCCAACATTTATTTCATCCTTTGGCAACCAAATCAGAAAGCAAAATCAGAATAATTCTCCTTACATTATTTTTTTTATTTTACTAATTGCTACTTACTCCCAACTCTGAACATTCTTTTAAAAGCTATGAAACATTGTGAGTTCAGACACTCTATTTGGGTTTGAGACTTTACACTATATTCCGTCAACCTATTTGAATTCTCTCCCAAGCCTGTGTCACAGTGCTCCATACATCTACAGTAATAGTAACACTGAGGTCTGTAGGCTGCTCACATCACAGATGTGTACTAATAGTTAATAGTAGTAACTTTCAAATTGTAAGTGTGCCAAGCTCATTTGCTCAGTATTTACCACTGCCTTCAACAATTAGCTAGGCTGGATGAAAATATTTTCATTCAAATGAACTGAACTGAAAGAAACACAGGCCAATTTGGAGCATGAATTAGCTGGTTAAGATTCAGTTACTCAGCAAAAATAACATCCTTCTTCACTTGATTTATTATTGAATCTTTAAAGGCTGTGTACAAATGCTCCCATTGTGTGTGCTGTTTAATATGCTTAGGTTGAAAGTCTCTTTCAAAAATGGAGTTGCTTATAGCTTGTTGTTCAAATATATTCCAGTTGCTTTATCATCAAAATACTATGCCCTCATTTATATGCTGGCTGGAGAGAGAGAATCCACTGTCAATATTTCCTTTCCCCAAGCTGTGGCTTCCAGAAGTGGCAGACTATTATTTCAAGAAGTTATAGCCATAGGTTGGCAATTTTGGAAAGTATAGTCCCAACACGTCTGGAAAACATAAGAATGAGGAAATGTTAGCATACAATACAAACAATGGGGATTTCCCCATCATTATGTGAAATTCCCAAATTACGGAAGATTGTAGAGTGGATTCTTCTTTCATTCAAAAATTGCCTTTCTGAATCACATATATTTGAAGACCCATCCTCTTGCCAGTTTTGGCATTTAATGTACTTCTAACATATGTGATTTTAACAATAGCCCGTGGGAGAAAAGTAAGATGAAATCTATGGAGAAGAGGACAAACAAATAATATATGTATTAATTATACATATAATTGCAGGAGATGCAATGAAACATACAATTGCAAGAGATGCAATGGGGAAACATGGTGAGGACGAATGTTAGGTGTAAAAAAAAAATTAAAACCTATTTTTTAAAAAATCTGAGCTTGGGACAAGATTTAGGGCAGTACCTTTTCTAGTTGACATGAAGTCCTATCGAAGAAGTGAATAATGGGCGATATTTTTTTTTAA